TGATTGCATCACCAAGTCACATCCCTGTCATTTTAACTATTTCATGGACCCAGAAGTGCACCTAGGTAGAACAGCTGCTGCTCCTCCAGCCAGGCTGTGACTGCAGGTGGAACTTGAGTTCTTGCTCACACAAACCCACCTAACAAAGACACACACAAGCTGGGGCAAGGGACTGCAACAGGACAGCCTCGAATGCTTACTTATTCTAGGAAGAGTTCCAAGAGCAGGTACAGGGCCCTTTGCACCTCCCCAGCCCTGGCACAATGAGCAGCCCACGCCTTCTTACACCCACAAGCCTGTAAGTATGCACAGCCCCCCACCACCCACCCAGTTCTCAGTGTAAAGGTCAAACAACATACACACACCTTCACCCACAGACCCGTTCCAGTTCACATGGAGGCACCAGCAGCCAAGATTATACCCAGCCACACTCCACCTCCTTACTACCCATAATGCTATGCCCACCTGCCCCCAGTCTCCTCTTTCACAGTCAGTACCAGGAGGCTTGTTGCTCTTCCCTCTCCCTGCTTCCCAGCACCAGCTGCTCCCAGGACCCCTTTTCTCATGAAGCCTCTTATCAATTATCTCTCCAGTGCCTAAGCTCTGTTAGTCCTTCTCTTTACAGGAAACTTTGGAGAGGAAGGAGTCTGAGACCATGGCCTTTGAGAAGGCGTCTTGAGGATGGGTGTGAGACTGATGAGGAATGCCCATGAGGTCTGGGATAGGGCTTTGTTGTTGGTGGTGGTGTTAGATGCCTTTGAGTCAATGCCAACTCATAGCGACCTTATGCACAACAGAACGAAACACCGCCTGGTCCCGCGCCAACCTCACAATCATTGCTAAATTTGAGCCCATTGCTGCTGCTACTGTGCCAATCCATCTCATTGGGGGTCTTCCTCGTTTTCTCCGACCCTCCACTTTACCAAACATGATAATCTTCTCCAGGGATATCCTGATAATATGTCCAAAGTGTGAGACACAAAGTGTGGCCATCTGGCTTCCAGGCAGCATTCTGGCTGCACTTCTTACAACACAGATTTGTTTGTTCTTTTGGCAGTCCATAGTACTTTTAATACTCAACTTTAACACGATAACTCAAAAGCATCAATTCTTCTATGATCTTTCTTATTTCACATGCATATGAGGCTATTGAAAATATCATGACCTGGGTCAGGCGCACCTTAGTCCTCAAACTAACATGTTTGCTCTTCAACAATTTAATGAGGTCTTGTGCTGCAGATTCAACTAATGCAATACATAATTTGATTTCTTGACTGCTGCTTCCAAGAGTGTTGATGGGCAATCTAAAGCAAAATGAAGTCTTTGACAACTTCAATCTTGTCTCTATTTATATGGATACTGTTAAGTGGTCCAGTAGTGAGGATTTTTTTTTTTTCTCTTTACATTGAGATTCATTCAACCCATGAATGTAGTCTTTGATCTTCATCCATAAGCATTTTAAGTCCTCTTCCCTTTCAGCAAGCAAGGTTGTATCATCTGCATATTGCAGGTTGTTAATGAGTCTTCCTCCAATCCTGATGCCACGTTTTTCTTCATATAACCCAAGCTTTTCAAGTTATTTGCTCAGCATACAGATTGAATAAATATGGTGAAAGAACACAACCCTGGTGTGCACCTTTTCTAATTTTAAACCATTCGGTGTTCCAATGTTCTCTTCAATTGACTGCCTCTTGGTCCATGTACAGGTTCCTCATGAGCACAATTAAGTGTTCCAGAATACTCATACTTCACAATGCTGTCCATTGCTTGTCATGATCCACACAATTGAAAGCCATTGCACAGTCAATAAAGCACAGGCAAACATCTTTCTGGTATTTTCTGCTTTCAGCCAAAATCCATCTGACATCTGCAATGATATCTTTCATTCCACATCCTCTTCTGAAACCAGCTTGAACCTCTGGAAGTTCTCTGTCAATGTATAGTTGAAGCCATTTTTTAATTATCTTTAGCAAAATTTACTTGCATGAGATATCAATTATATTGTCTGATGATTTCCACATTCTGTTGGGTCTTTGGAATGGGCACAAATAAGGACCTCTTCCAGTCAGTTAACCAGGTAATTAGTTGTCTTCCAAATTTCTTGGCATAGATGAGTGAGTGCTTCCAGTGCTGCATTAGTTTGTTAAAGATTTCAATTTGTATTCCATCAATTCCTGGAGCCTTGTTCTTTGCCAATGATTTCAGTGCACCTTGGACTTCTTCCTTCAAGATTATTGGCTCTTGATCATATGCTACTTCTTAAAATGGTTAGACATCGACTATTTGTTTTTGACACAGCTGCTGTATGTATTCCTTCCATCTTCTTTGGCTACTTTCTGATCATTCAGTATTCTGCAGGGATAGAGCAGGAGGATCTTTATATAAAAACCCTAATACCGCTGTCCTGCTAGGAGGCAAAACAATGATAACTCTTGTTAAGTCTCATAAGTTGAACTTGCGGTTCAAACCAACCTTTCGGTCCAGTGCCTATGCTACAACATCACACATCGACTAATTGAAGTCCTGGTGTTGTAGTGGGTTACACTTGGGCTGCTAACTGTAAGGTTCAGCAGTTCAAATCTACCAGTCACTCCTCGGGAGAAGGATGAGACTGTCTGCTCCTGTAAATATTTACAGCTTCAGAAACCCTACAGTGTTGCTATACGATGGTATCGACTCAACAGCACACAACAGCAAAAATAAATTGAGGACCTTTTATGTGCCAAGTACCTAGCATCATAATACTTAACTTTATGAGGTAGGGACTATTCTGCTCATTTTACAGATGCTGAAATCAAGGTTAAGGCCCCAGAGAAAGTGGTGTGAGAATCCTGGCTTCAGTATAGACAGATGCCTATTTGGAGGATCCTGTTCTTTGTGTATTTGGTTAGGAGGGAGGGTGAGTGGAAAGAAGGTCAGAGCAAGCACCTGAGCCCAAATGGGCCCAGTGTGCACCACCCTACCCTTATTCTTTCTGCTTCAGTGCCTTCACATCCTCTCCCTCCATTGTCACTTCTGTTGGGAGAGGGATGGGGTACTAAGAAAAGGCAGCCCTGTACACCGAAGAGTGAGTAAGGGAGCACTGGAGGCTCAGGCTGGGTGCAGGGACTCATTCCTGGAGTCCCCATGACAGGCAAATGGACCAGTCAACATACAAATGGAGATCCAGCTGACCAGAGTCTTCAAGGCCCTGGGTTCTGATGTCCCCGCCTCGCCCAGAGAAAATTGAGCCGGGTCTGGCATGTGTAAAGAGATATGGCTGGGAGGAGGGAAGCAGGGGAGGTTATTTTGGGAGGTAACAGGGGAGGGGGCCATGTGAAATCCAGGCCAGGGAAAGACTGCTCAGGAGAGGAGGCAACTGAACTTTGGAGGCTGGCCCCTTAGAGGAGAAGATGAGGATGACCACAGGTTATGCCTTGAAGAACTAGCCATAAAGCTATATGGAACTTGACAGATGCTCATTTGAAAGCTAAAGAAACAGATCTACTGGTCCCTGTCCTTCTACCAGCACTCCCAGTCCCTCCTCCTCACCACCCTGTCCTTTTCCCCTCTTTTAGGGGATTATCAAACCCTGCCCCTCCCCAGCACCTCAGCACCTCCCCTCCCTCTGCCAGTGCTCCCCAGACCCTGGCACAATGCCCACCCTTATGAATATCTTTCTATTTCACCCACTGGCTAATATTAATGGGCACCTTGGTGCCCACACCAGACAGGTTCTTCACATAGTCTAACCCCTATCCCTTCAGTTGAACTGATCTTTCTCATTATTCTCACTATAGGGGAATTAGAAGCCAACCCCATCTAGAAACAAGCCACTGGCGGAAGGAACATCCCTCTTCATCTCAAAACAGTCTCCAGACGCAGGCCTTTCACTTCTATTGTTGTTGGGTTGTGGTGGTAGTGTGCCATGGGGTCAATTTGGACTCATAGCAACCCTATATAGGGTTTCTGAGAGTGTTGCTGAGTTTGAACTGCCAACCTTGCAGTTAACAGTCCAGTGCTTATCCTACAGCGCCACACTTAACCTACTTTGTTGTTGTTGTTGTTAAGTGTTGTCAAGTCGTTTCTGATTTACAGTAACCCTGTTTCCGAGGAGCTGGGGTAGGTTTGAACCACCGACCTTGCAGTTCAAATCGACCTTGAGGTCCGGAGCATTATCCTGCAGCGCCACACCCGGACTCCTACATTAGGATCCCCATAATTTAGTAAGCAGAAAGAGAAATCTATTTCACAAGCATTATTGGCTCCCCACACCCCACCCCCATTACTCCTTCTGCTGAGTCCCAGATGGTGCTCTCTACCCAGCCCTCCACATGCTCAACATTTCTAGAGTGACGCTCTGGCCTCTGCAGCCCCTTGTAGATCTTCAGGCCCACCTCCCAGATGCCCACAACCTGCACCTCCCCTATTCTTTCAAGGGAAAGTTCCTTTCCAGGTCTAACCTTAATCCATTCTGCTGCATGCGAAAATCCCCTTTCTTTTCTTTATGAGACAATCTCCTTTAAAATCTTAAATGAAATCTCGCGTTTGCAGCCCCCTCCCCTGAAGCACCCATCCACCCTCCAAGCCTCTAAATTTGCCCCAGGCTGGACGCATTCTCTGTAGCCGTTCCCCACCCACACTCATTGTCCAGAACTCCGAGGATACCTGGCTACCGGTACCCGCACCGCCAGTGGATTACAACTTGGACCGGGCCACGCCCCGACTCGCGCGCGCCCTCTGGACAGTGACCCTCCCAACCAGCGGCGCAGGCACGACGGGGTTAAGATAGCGGGCTGAGGGAGGGGGAGAAAGAGGCCCGGGAGGGGCGGGTGCGGAGCCAATCAGAGGCCGCAGAGTCCCCGGAGCCGCGAGCTGGGAGCGCGGAGCTGGGAGCCGAACGCGCCGGGCTGGGGCCGGGGGCCGGAGCGCTGCGGAGAGGGAACGCGCCCGCCCCAGCCCCCGAGTCCTGCCGACTTTCCTCCAGCCGCAGCGCCGGCCCACAGGCCGCCGGCGCAGCCATGGAGCAAGACAACAGCCCCCGGAAGATCCAGTTCACGGTCCCGCTCCTGGAACCGCACCTTGACCCCGAGGCGGCGGAGCAGGTGAGGAACAGGGCGGAGCAGTAGAAGACTTGCCTTCCTGAGGACGAAGGACTCTGGACTGGGGGGAACCTGGGATCTTTGCCCATTCCTCGCTTAGCAGCGCGCCCCTTTGAGGGAGTACGGGCTCAGTTTGGGGGACCCTGTATCCCCTCCCCCACCGTCGGAGTAACGTCTCCCCATCTGGGCTTCTTTGAAACCGACAGCAGGATGAGCACCTCCACTCGTTGCCTCCACTCGATGCCTCCCTAATCTTGCAGGAGAGGACCGGCCTGAGGCTCGATCTCTGGCCTCTACTAACCTTGTATCCTACACCCATTAAACACCATCAGTTTCTGAGCTCGGGTAGAGGCGCTTAGGGGTATAAGCAGCACTGCAATAAGGGGTATGAGAGAGGGGTAGGTAATGGATGGAGCCTGGTGCTGTAGGAGTTGGACGTGGAGAAACAGTTTTTCCTGTCCCCTCCCTAACTGGTGCGCACCTGGGATGGGGAGCTGCAGAGAGTGATAACCAGAAGAGGCTGAGGAAAACCGAAAGGGCTGGGACTTTGGGGAGGGAGTGAATGAGTCTGGGCACCAGGTCCTTATTAACAACTACTGCCCTTTGAAGTGAGGATGAGGAAGGGAGGGAGAAAGTGGCACTGGCAGGCCCGAAGGAGGGACTTTCTAAGGGCCTAGGGTTCAAGCAGAGCAATATTCAAGTGAGCTGTGCTGGCCTTGGCTCAAAGGGTGGGAGTCCAGGGCCCTAGCCCAACCTCCTAGCCTGGCCTATTTTTAGCTCTGAACAGCCTGGCAGAAAAGAGCAGTGTATGAGAGTGTGTGTGAGCAAGTGTGTGTCTCAGTGAGCATGAACATGTGTGTAGAGCAGGTGACCACCCATAGTCATTACTACCGCCTGTTGGCCAAATATTTGCTCATTGCTCCATCTTTTTGTATTCTGTATCCATTTGCCTAGACATCCGTATTCCTAGAATATCCATTTCCCACAAGGTCAATTGTTTCCCTGAAACAGTAGTCAGAGCTCTGGCTGTACCTTCCCACCTGAAAAAAACTTTGCGACCTCCTGGGATGGACTGAAGAAAATGTTACTTTGTTGTTGCTATAGTTTCAGCTGTTTGGTAGATAGAAAGAACAAGGTCTGTATGTGAAGGGAGAGGGTTGGTACATACACTCCAACTTTGAGTTGCTGGAATGGGAGGTGGAGGGGATAGATGCTGTGTCTCCCTCCTCTCCCTGCCTATGTGACCTGTTTGCCCTATCTCCGGGTTTCTAAGGTGTGAGGGTGGGAGGGATTGTGGTGGGACCTCACAGACCTCCTGAGGGAACAATGGAGAGCCAATGGCATAGGAAGCATTCCCTTGCCACGGCTGTCATAGAACCAATTTCAACTCATGAAGATCCTATGTGTGTAGAATAGATCTGTACTCCATAAAGATCTCAAGGTTGATTTCAAATCAGATTATCACCCGTCTTCCAGGATGCTTCTACATGGGTTCAAACTGCCAACCTTTCAGTTCATAGTGTAACACTTAACCATTGTGCCGGATGACCTTCGACCCAAGAGTGTGAGCATGGGGTTTGGGGTGAGGTTCCAAGCAGAACTAACTCTCACTGTCATAGACAGATCTCGTGCCTGACACCTGCATCTGTTTGGTGTTCAAAGAGGCAGGTGTAGGTGTGTGTTGGGACAGGGAGGGGCTGTGCAGCTGGTTCCGGGAATCTGTAGGACAGGGAAAAAGCATGAGGCAGTGCTAAGGAGACAGAAGGAAAAATAGAGTTGGAACTTAGGTCTGCTGTTCTCTAATCTTCAGAAATCTATGTCGCCTAGGCCTGAAATTCTACCTGCAATCTAACCTCAGCCCCTCCTGATGTGTTTCCAAGTATGTAAGCAGAAAGCTTCAGGCTTGGCAGGGGCTCAGGTCAAGATGGGAAACGGATTTGAAAGCTCTGAATTATTTGGAAGCAGAGTGGCTGGGGTGGAAGGGTGCCCACAACTATCAAATCCATGGCATGGCTGATTTGGAAATAAATCTGAAGGCAAAGGTACCAGATGTCCTTGAAAGTCAGAATTCGGGGTGGTGGTGGATGTGCTGTGGAGTTGGTTCTGATTCATAGCGACCCTGCATAGAGTTTCCAAGGCTGTAAATCTTTATGAGATCAGAAAGCCTCATCTTTCTCCTGCAGAAAGACTGGTAGTTTCGAACTGCTGACCTTGAGGTCTGCAGCCCAACTCGTAACCACTATGTTACCAGAGCTCCTTAGAATTTGGGATGTTGTTGTTGTGAAGTGCTGTTGAGACAATTCCGACCCATAGCAACCCTGTATAGGGTTTCCGAGGAGCAACTGGTGAGCTTGAACCGCCGACCTTGCAGTTCAAACGGGTTTGCAGTCTGGTGCATTAACCCACAGGTGTGAGAAAAAGAAGAAACCATTAGTATCCTAGTAGTTCAGATGCTGGGTGATGCTTCAAAAAGTCTAATTTTACTTTGTCCTTCCATAAGACAAAGGAGCCCTGGTGGCACAGTGAGTTGAGCATTGGGCTCATAACATCAAGTTTGGTGGTTCAAACCCACCAGTCAATCTCAGCAGAAAGATAAGGCTGCCTGCTCCCATAAAGATTTACAGTCTTAGAAGCCCTATGGAGCAGTACTCCTGGGTCAGAATCAACGCGACAGCAATTCTCAGGGACTTTTGAGAGTTTAGAAATCTTATCCAATGCAAGAAAATAGGTTAAGGAAGGGGACCTATCCAGAGCCCTACTGCCTTGTTCAATGCCCTTCCTGTGATACTGCTGTCTCCTTCACAGGTTTCAACAACGATGTTATCTCAACCAACCCACTCATCCCAACCCCTTCCACTTTCTCCCTGCCCCTTCCACAGTCCCCTTGCCCCCATAGATAGGAAGACAGTAGAGAGGAGGGGGTCCTCTCCTAGTGAAAAGATGACACCCCACCCCACATCCATGAAACACACATGTCTACCTGCCAGCATCCAGCACGATTGCACCAGTACTAGTCAGAGAGGAACGCATAGGCAGTGTTTGAGAAAAACGTGGACACAGGCATGTGCACACGCGTTCTCACACAGGCAGTGGGCGAGGAGGAAAGGGCTGGTACTGCCAGGGACCTCAAAATGTCACCAAAGACAGATGTCACAGTATTCTCCTGGGAAAGAGACGTCTGACCCCCTACAGACACCCATTCTAGGCATCTTGTTTCTTACTTTGGGGAGAATTCTCCTCTCAGACTAACATTAACCCCCTTTGTTGTTGCTGGTACCCACTGTCTAGGCATAGGAAAGGGCAGGAACCCCGATATTTCCTACCCGCGGTGGTGGTAATACTAAATAATAAAGACTCAAAGATGGAGATTTGATTGTTCAGTGTCCTCACCCTGAACCTGAACCCTGAACTCTCAGCACTCAATCATTTTAGTCCCTTTTCCAGCCCAATTAGGCTTCCCTCCACACTACTGCCCTGGAGGAAGCTGCAGGGACTCCAGCCTCTTCCATCCTCTCAATTCCAAGCTTCTAAAGCCTCCTAAAGGAGCTCTGGTAGCATATTGGTTACAAATTGGGCTGCGAACTGCAAAGTCAGCATTTCGAAACTACCCGCTGTTCCACAGGAGAAAGATGAGGCTTTCTGCTCCCGTAAAGATTTAGAGCCTCGGAAATCCTGTACAGGGTCGCTATGAGTCAGAACTGAGTGCACAGCAAATAACCACCACCACCAAAGCCTCCTAGGAGCTCTGGTGGTAGCGTAGTGGTTACGAATTGGGCTGCGAACCTTAAGGTCAGCGGTTCGAAACTACCAGCCGCTCCGCGGGAGAAAGATGAGGTTTTCTACTCCCGTAAAGATTTATACCCTCAGAAACCCTGTACAGGGTCGCTATGGGTCGGAACCGACTCGACGGCACTTAACAACAACAACAACCAAAGCCTCCTAAGAAAGGGGGGAAAACTATATGTCCCAAGATTCCTTGGACTGACTTCAACAACAATAAACATTATTGACAGCATGACAAAAGAACAGCAACCAATCTGCTTGTATATGTTAATTTCTTAGAATGGGACTGGAAGTCCCGGATAAGATTTTTCAGCTAAACTTTTGACTTTGACAGAGGCCCTACTCAGGACTCTTTGTATACATTTACCATGACAAGGATTTCCTCAGATGCTCCTGCCTAACAAATCAGAAAGGCAGTGGGTCCAAGGATGTGGGTCCAAGGGTAGGAAAGACACTGGGATGGGAGGGGCACAGGCTAGAAGGCATGCTTCTCAATGCTGTGCTTCCAGGCTTCATGAGGAGTCAGGGGTGCTCTCTACAGGAGCTGGTCTACAAAAGATCAATATCTGTGTGGGGAACAGCCTGGGCAAAGGGGCGAGAGAGACCTCTGCCCTCTCAGGTTATTTCTGACCATTGATCCAGGATGGACGGAAGGACAGCAGGCCAGAGATCGATGCATTAGAGCAGATATAGCTGCTGAGATGAGGAACTGGGGCCAGGACCAAGAGATGGAGGGACAGCTCAAAGGGGTGGGAGGTTGATGCAGGGAGTGGGGTCCTCCTACAACTCCCCAGAGGAGGGGGACAGGCCCAAGGATGTCTGTCTGTCCTGGAACAGTGAATGTAATATAATATGGGCATTTTCTGAGGTGTACTAAGTGGGCTGGCCTGGATTATGTTGCTGAGTGTTGTTGGGTGAGGAGGCTCCATGGCAGTGACTGAGATACTCCCGTATATTCATTTGACTCTTCTTTCTCTCTTTCCTCCAGATTCGAAGGCGCCGTCCCACCCCTGCCACCCTTGTGCTAACCAGTGACCAGTCCTCCCCAGGTAACCCAAGGGATAGGTCCCTGGATGGAGTGGGGGGCTCTATAGACTGGTGGGTCCCAATGAGAGAAAGGGGGTGCTAAATAGGAGCCCTGGTGTGGCGCTGTAGATTAATGCGCTGGACTGCAAAGTCAGTTTAAAGCACAAGGTCAGAGGTTCAGGCTCACCTGTCATTCCTTGGAAGCCCTATACAGGGTCACTGTGGGTCGGAACCAACTCAGTGGCACTTAACAACAAACAGAAGAAGGACAGAACTGAGGAAATCAGGAACTTCCTCAGTCCTGGAAGCAAAAGCAGCAGCTAATCCTGACTCAATTAGCAAAAGGATTTCATTTGCTTTTGGAAGGCCAGAACAGTGCTAGGAAGGGGAGGGAGACCACCTGGTTCCTAAGCCCCCCAGGAATTGGGTGGTCAGTGAAGTGCTGGTTGCTGCAGCAACAGCTTTCGAGGTTTCTCCAGCAACAGAGATACTGCTGCCCCACCCCCAGAGGCAGTGACAGCTGTGAGGGGGAGGGACCGCCTCCATCAGCTATCTTCATGGCCCCCAGAGGAGAAGGGGATAGTTAGAAACAGCTCAGGGAGCAGCTGAGGTTCTGGTCACTAGTGTCCCCCTCAAGATCTGAGTAGAGAACAAGGTCTCGGAGAACAAAAGATGATCTTGAGTGGAAGAAGAGTGTTCAGGTTAATAGAATAGACTAGCGTTCTAGATGCCTGAGTCTCCAGATTTCCTCCAACTTCTGAAAATGAATGGATCTACCTAGACCTTACACAGGATGCATATGCTACTCACTATCCTGCATTTTCCACTCTGCTGGTTTCTAACCTGAACCTGAAGTAGGGAGAAGGCTTGGAAGGTGGAAAAGACACAGATACTTCAGAGGGAGGAAAAGAGCAGAATCATCACAATCCTGCCTTCAGGGACCTCAGATCTGAGGTTAAGGGTAGAGATGCAGATTGATCACAGCCCCAGAGTCAAGGACAGGACCAGATGCAGCTGGGCGAAACCAGCTGGCAGAGCAGGAGGGGAGCCGGAGAGAGCAAAGGTCTGGGATCACTATCAGAACCAAGTTCCTAAGAGCTGGATGGCTGGGACCCAATCAGAAAATATGAAAGTCAGCTCTAGGAAAATCCTAGGAACTCCCCAGGATTTCTTATCCTTGCCACCTTCTTCATTCCCTGTTCTCCTCAGAGATAGATGAAGACCGGATCCCTAACCCACTTCTCAAGGTGAGCCAACCCCTCCCACTCATCCCAACCCAGAGAACCCACAGAATCTCTAGGAGATGATCCTCCTACCTCTCCTCCCTTCCATGGGACCGGCTGACTCCCTTCCCTGCATCCCCCAAATGTGCCTGAATGAATATTAACACCTGCCTCCCCACACACTCCTACATACTATTGCTTTGCTCCCTGTTATTATTGGCTGGGGAAGCAGGAGTTTCCTCCCCCCACTTTCTGAAGCCCACACTCACCCCAATCGCCAATCCAAATGCATGCAAGGTAGAGGAGGACAAGGGAGAAGGGTTGGCCACCCACCTGTGCTCTGTATTCTTCACAGTCCACTTTGTCAATGTCTCCACGGCAACGGAAGAAGGTGACAAGGACCACACCCACAATGAAAGGTTTGGAAGACCCTTTCTATCCCTTTTTCCCATCTATATCTGAGGCTGGGGAATAGACCCAATGACTCCTTTAGAAAAACTCCTTGGGAGGCCATGAAGTCTGCCTCTGTTAGAGTAAAACTATTGCTAGACCCACTGGGACTTGAATTCCAACTCTGCCACCAGCTAAGCTGTGTGGCCTTGGAGAAATCGCTTAACCTATTGAACCTTGAGTACTGCTTCATTGTGGCAATAAAATCATGTATGTGAACTCAACAAGCACAATGCCCAGGCACCCAGGAGATCACTCAAGTTCCTTCTTGAACCTAAATTGAGTTTTTTTCTCCTTCCTCCAAAGGAGATCACGAATGTAGCTCAGCACTTAGGATAATTTTGTGTTCTTTTACAGTCTCTTCCCTTACCCCTCCATTTCCTTCAAAAGAAAGACTTTCATGGCCTAGCTTTGCCAGCTACTAACCAAATCAAAAGCCAAAGCCACTGCTGTTGATTCAGTTCTGACGTACAGCGACCTTATAGACGAGAGTAGAATTGCCTCATTGGGTTTCCGAGACTAGCACAGTGGTTACGAATCAGGCTGCGAACCACAAGGTCAGCAGTTTGAAACTACCAGCTGTTCCACAGGAGAAAGATGAGGCGTTCTGCTCCCATAAAGATTTACTGCCTTGGAAACCCTGTACAGGGTTGCTATGGGTCAGAACCGTCTGCACAGCACATAACCACCACCACCACATCTTTACAGAAGCTGTCTCATCTTTCTCCTGCAGAGTGGCCAGTGGGTTCAAACCACCAGCCTTTCAGTTACTAGTCCACTACTTAACCCACTGTGTCACCAGCGTTCTTTCTGCCAGTTGTCATCAGATCAATTCTGACTCATAACAATCCTTGTGTGTCAGAGTATAACTGTGCTCCACAGTGATTTCAGAAGGCGATCAGCAGGTCTTTCTTCCAAGGCACCTCCACCCATTGGATAGTAGCCAAGCATGGGAACTGTTAGCCCCACCCAGTGTCTCCTGTCCAGTTTTAGTCCCTCCTTATTGCCTAGCTATTACGCTCTCATGTCTAGATCTCAGAAGATGAGAAAATCTATAAACTTAGCAATGTGTGATGCCCCTTTTGTGAGCTGTTGAAGTTGGGAGCCCACAGATTTGATTCTAGCCGTCATGTTCAATGCATCCTTTTCTCGGTCACCAGAGCTCCAGATGATGGTTGAGCATCACCTGGGGCAACAGCAACAAGGAGAGGAGCCTGAGGGAGCTGCCGAGAAAACAGGGCCCCAGGAGTCCTGCCCACCTGGGATCACAGACACAGCAGCAGAGTCAAGACTGAGTAAGTCTGAGGTGACACAACGTATGTTCAGGCTGGGAAGGGACCCAGACATCCTGTTCCCCAGTCTAGGAGGAGGCAGGCCTCAACCATTGCAGGGTTTGAAGTCTGGGCAAGGTCTAATATCCAGAAACTATGCTGAGAATATGGGTATATTTGTATGTATTGCATATATTCACATCTCTTCCCATCTTTACAAAAGGACATAGCCCCTTCCAACTTGAACTTCAGGGATCCCTGTTGTAGAAATACTGGGGGATCACACTAGAATAAAAGCAGCACTTACAGACTAACTCCTCACTCTGCCACTTGACCAGCTAAGAGACCTGGAGCAGCGTACTTAAGCTCAGTCCATAAAATGATAATGTGGGTGCCATTTCATTGGGTTATTTATGAAAATTAAATAAGATTGGTTCTAAGCCCAGCATCTGACATCAAGAAAACGTACAATAAATGGAAGCTGGTAGTGATGGTGCTAATACCATCCGTTATCCTAGATGGATTTCAGAATTCAGGATTCTCTTCACTTTGGAAGGTGATAGACTATATATACTATCAGTGTAACATACCCTATAATCAAAGATTAGGATTTCTGCAAGAAATGAATGGTACAATTAAGTGGGATAATAAAGACTATATATACTCAATCTGTTCAGGTCAGTAGCCACATACTGCATTTGGACCCAAATGGAAAATAAAACTTCGAGTTTTCTTTTCCTAAATTTCAGACTACAGATAAAAAATAGTGAAGCTATAGTAGTAATTGTGATCAGAAAGGACTTTGTTAGTCCAATTGCCCAGTTGCTCTCAGCTTGGTTTTGGGCCTCTCTCAGGAATTCTTAGGGTGTAGGGTAAGGCAAGAAGATGCATTCCCCTCTGTGCAAGGCCTTCATAAATGCTCTTTTCTCTTCCCCTCCCCACTTTCCCTCCTTAGAGCCTGCAGGAGCCATCCCTAAAACTCAGGAGAGGGGCACTGAGGAATCCAGCAGGGAGGAACCCTCCACCCATATACAACCATTGGATTCCCACGGAGCCAACTCGGTAAGGCCCCAGGGTGGTTGGCTAGCTCTATAGGAGAGCAGGCTGTGTGGATGGAGCAGGGGGCTAGTATATGGAGTCAGGGAAAAGGGAGCAAAGGATCCGTTTCAGTCACTGAAAAGTTACTCTAGATGGTAAGAGGACTAACTTTGCCCCTGACAGGCAAACAGTGAGAAATGGGATTAAGCTGTGGAAGGAGGATTGAGGTTAATTTTGTGTAGGACTTCAGGCTCCTGGAATGGGTGATGCAAGTGGGCCAAGGATTTTTTTTTTTTTTTAAAGGGCATTTGGAACCCAAAGGAAGCTCCTCACCTGCCCAGGATGGGTGAGCAGTGGCCCTGTCTGGAGATGGAGGCGTTGAATAGCCTCTTGAATTTTAATTTGACAGTCCTCACTCTCCCTGTGTAGAATGGACAAGGGGCAGAGACTGACATCAAACTTCAGAATAACCTTCCCAGAAGTTAGATGCTTGATGAATAGGACAGTTGGACAGACCCTCAGAGAAGACAAGAGGATCCCCCCAGACATTCTGGCCTCATATTCACCTTGTCTTTCTGTCCCCTCCCTTTACAACAGGTCTGAGAGTGGAGGAAGTATCCTGGAATCAAGACTGCCACTTGGGAAGGCACAGACCCTGGATTTGCTTATTTCTTCACTTTTGGGGAAAATCTCATTTTTAAAATCTGATAAATTTGGTGTTAGTCCTTGGTACTTTCCTTCTCTTCCATTTTGGAGAATTCCTCTCTCCCATTTTACCGCCCTCTCTACATCTCCCCATAATCCCAGACCTACTACCTCTGGGAAGCAGGAAATAGACAAGCAGGGCAGGATCTTGAGGGAGGAGTCCTTCCCCTAAACCTTCCTGTGTTTGCTGTGGGGAGAGAGAGAGACGAAGGTCAGAGAGGTGGGCAGAGTAACTTTCAGGGTGTCAGGAGGCAGGCTCTTTTTTTTTATTGAAGAGATATGTCTAGCTGGCAGGTGCTCTAAGGCATGACTGTGCTGTGGGTGCCATCTGCTGGACAAAGGGGAGAACTGCATCCTGACATTTGCTCCAAGGGAAGGAGAGGAGGTTGGTTGTGTTGTGTGGATACCTCTTTGCCTGCCTTCCAGAATTTCAGTGGCCTTCATTTTGCATTCTCATGCTCTGGGATGTGTTTCCGTGTCTAGCTATGAGAAGACTACCTCCCCTTATTCCAACTCCAAGTGCTTGCTCCATTAGCAAAAATGGACTGAAGACAGAGTGGCTGTTAAAGAAGGGGCCCTTTTGAAGTTGGAAGGGTATCGCTTGCCCTTGTCTTAGACAGGGAGAGGCCAAGGTGAAAGACAAAAAGCAGTAAGAGGCGAAAGAAAGTCTACAGACCCCACACAGTCAGACCTCTCCTTTCCATGGCTTTCAGCTGGGGGTGCGTACAGAGTGGACACCTCTCAGCTGGGTTTCATGGAAGAAGAAAGCAGCAGCGGAGAGGTAGAGGAGAAAGCAGAGCTTCAAAACTTCTGTAGTGCACCTCGTTGTGCCCTTGGGCAAGACCATGTCCCTCTGGGCCACAGTTTACCCACCTACATAATAAGGAGAATACCTCACTAGATGTTATTCAGCTTCAAAGAGAACATGCACATAACGGCGCTGGCTGATCTGCCACCCCAGGGAACAGTACACACAATCAGACCTGGTCTCCCTTTTTTATTGATCTCTGGCTATAGCAGGGGCCTGGGAGACCAAGGGCAGGGTGAGTTACATGCGTCTCTGCCCCACCTGGGGTGTGGGGTGGAAGGAACAAGTGTCAGGGACCGTGGATATGGACTTCACACGAATGGGGTCCACTGTACAAATGGATGGTTGGTATTTACAAAGGAGGAGGGCAGTCACCCGGACTTTGGCCTTTCCTGGGATAAGGTGGAGGTGAGGAGGAGCCTGAGGTAAGGAAGGGGCATTAGGCCAGGCTGGGCTCCATTCAGAGGGCATGACAATAGCAGCCCAACACCCTTCCCCACTGGCCTTCCACCAGCCACCCTCTATTTATAGTCTCAGGGAAGGGGCCTCTTGGTGCCTGTGGCTGGGCCAGCACAGGGGACTAAGGGAGATGAGGGACCCTCTCTGTCAGCAACACAAGGTTACTAGATTATGCCTCACCCTCCCCATTGCACCCTTGACTCCCACCCAGCTGGTCTCCAGCCTGTGCTCAAAAAAATAACATCCTGAAGGTGCTTTGCTAGGGAGACTTCAAAGCACTTTACAGACATTGGTCGGATGGGAGCCTCCCAGTCCAAGTGGAGAGGAAGGAGGCTAAGGACTTGGGACTCAGGACTCAGCCAGGTCAGGTAACAAGTCCCAGGGACCCAGACCATTCCCAAACTCTTAAGAACCCCAGAAAAGGACTGTCCTCAGTCCTTGGTCCCAATGCCTCCTCTCTTTCCCAGTATCCATTTCAGAATCAGGGAGAGGGAAGATTTCCAAGAGTTGGGCAAGGTAGGGATGGGGCTAAAGCAGTACAGGTCTGGGGTAAAGAAGATACCCCCCCATAGAAAGTTACTATGTCCTGAAGGAGCCCACTCCCCTCCCCACGTGTAAGGGCTCTAAAAACCCCCAGCTTTATCCTACTCCAGCCTCTCCCAGGGGAGAAGAAGGGGGACCCAGACCTGCCAGCTAAGATCTGGGGTGGGGGGCTGAGGGAACCCCCAAAATGTATTGCTTAGAAACGGAGGCAAAAAGGATGGGGGAGGGCCAGGGGGGCTGGCATCTCTGACCCTCCCTCCAAGCCCTGGGAAACCTCCAGGAAGCTACCCCCACCTCCTAGCCAGACAATTGTCCATGGGGGGAGTCCAGAGGCAGGGAGATGGACACAGTGACCACTGGGAGCCTGAAGTTTCCCAGTCTTATTGCTGGGAGATTAAAGTGTGTCCCAATGGGTTTCAGGTGGGGAGGGGCCCTTCCCCCAACCCCACAATCTCTGGCATTTGGCCTTCAGGTGGGTTATCTGTTCCACGACCTCTGGGCTCCCTTGGAGCAGATGGGGGAGCCAGTCCCGATGGATGGTGCTGATGACATCGAAGACTTTAGACTCAATGAGGACCTGGGGAAGATAAAGAAGCCTCAGGGTTCTACTCTTTGTTTTTGTCTCCAGCATGAGCTACCTTCTCCAAGCCCTGCTGAATCCCTGCTCAATCTCTCAACAATTGTGTGGGAAATGCCCTGAAGAAGGGTGCCCAGCCAAGGGTGTGTGGGTGACTGAAATCCAAGTCACGCTCAACTGACCTCTCTGAGCAGGTTCTATTTTTTCTTATTCTCACCCGTGTGCTCTACAGGCTAGTTTGCACCTTGCTCAGTCCCCATCCTATTCTGCTGTGGTTCTGAGGAGCCACTCTTCTCTTCCTTCAGGACTGTGGGGCAGGAGAGAGTAAGGGAACTTTCCTGCTTCCCACTCATGTCTGGATTCAGCTCTGTGTCTTCACTTCCTCCATTTTCCTACCTGGAAAGGGGGAGGCACCTCACATCCATTGGACCCCAGAGATGACCCTTCAAGAAGGTCACTCAGTTCTCAAGGCTGGACACTCAGTTCTTAATGTTGGACACTCAGTTCTCAAGGCTCTCCCAACTCCCACCCTTCACTACACCACTGTCACCTGGGTTACCCTCAGGGCTAGTCCAGATTCCCATTTTGGTTGTGTTCATCTTCAGTAGGGGAGGATGGGGCCTCCTCCTCCTCACATGGGGACAGCCCATCAATGGACATCTGGTTGGTGATGCCTGCAGGCGGACATGAAGAAACTTAAGGTCATAACCCAAGGAGTATGTGGAGAAAAAGAAGGTATTTTCAACCACCCCTCTGTCTTCTGACTGAGCTCCATTCAACTAATTCCCACTTGGGGAGCACCTCTCCAACCTTGCTAAAATTCACAATCCTTAACCTCCTAATAATGGAAGAGATTTCACACTAAGTTGCCCCAATCTAGGGACACCATTTACATGGACCATAATGTAATGAAGTCCATTAGGTTGTAGAATACAGCTGTCCCTATGTTTTCTTCAAGCTGCCATGGCATGCACTCAACTGCTAACCAAAAGGTGGACAGTTTGAACCCACAGCTGCTCCATGGGAAAAGGATGTGGCAGTCTGCTTCTGTAAAGATTTACAGTCACAGAAGCCCTATCAACACTGCCCTACAAAGTTTCTGTAAGTTAGAATCCATCTTCTCTCCAAGCCTCATTCTAGAACAGGCCGGCCACTCAGCCAGTCTTCACTGTGATCAGTCTGATCAGCTCTAGTCCACACTCTAGCACTCAAACAAAGGGTTACCCCAGAGACTTAAGGAAAATGGACCAGCTCCTGCTCCATTAGTCTTTGCCTCAACATCTCACCCCAATCCCAATGGTACTCACCACTTGCTGCCCGTTCCTTCCATTTCTGTTTGTTCTCCTGAATGTACTTGGTCCAAGTAGAGCGAAAGCTGATCACGTCAGGGTTGGGCTCTGCCACTTCCACATCCAGAGAAGGCTGGCGCCACTGGAAGCTAGAATCAGGAACCCCCCCACAACTCCAGAGTGATGCCCAGCCCACTCCAAAACTGCCTTCAGAACCCAGAGAGGAGGGAGGGAGAGGAAGGAAGACTAGGAGGAGTCAGCTTATGAAGTCTAGCCATCCTCCTTGTTTGCCTCTACTAGGTCATCCCAGGATCCTGTCCTCCTCCCCACCATCCCTCAGAGTAAAAGGAAAACAAAAAAACAAGGTTGGCAGAAAGACACTAAAGACAGAGCTAAAAGAAGAGACAAAATTGGAGGCAGATAGACGGAGGGAAGCACATGTGCAGGTCATACCCTTCGGGTCCCATCTGTGTGACAAGCAGCAGAGGGGCTCCCAAGCTGGAGTTTTCTGCTTCTCTAGCACCCTTGCCATATGAATCACTCCTCTCCCAGAACCAGACTTGGCCAGCCCAGACTCCCTTACCTGGACTGACTTTTAGACTTGGAGTCATCATCCGCCAGGGGCTGCACACTCTTCTCTGCCACATCAGTGAGCACAGAGAACGTGGGTTCCACGATGAAGTCAATGAAACCTACAGTGAAGGAAGCCACAGGGGAGGAGCTCTAGGTAGAGATTACAGATGGCATGGCCAGGACCCTGGCTGCATATAAAATAGGGTAGGGCTATAACCTGGAGCTGAAAATGTACTCTGAGAAGGTTTAAGACATCTCTGTGAACCCGAAACTCCCCTCCCTCCACCCCAGGACTCCTGATCTAGGAACAATGGTGTGGGGTTGTGTGGACTTAGGACAGCACTCTTCCCCATCCCTGCAGAAAGAGCACTCACCAATCTGGGATTGCGCCACCAGAGTGGAAGTGCGATCGCAGAGTGGAGAAAAGGGCAGGCCCAGCTCTGCCTCCTTGTCACCCTGGGGGAAGAGAGGACGGTGGGAAAGCTCCAGAAGATACCTCAGACCTGCCAGATCTGGGGGTTGTTATGGAAAGCGAGGAATTTCTGTGCCTTTCACCAAGAAATAAGTGATATACAAAGGACATGCAAATGTGGCATCAATTGCTAAGCTTTCCAGATAATGAGATTTTATCCAATGGCTTTGGAATCAGATCTGAGCTTCAGGCCACTGAAGGAAGGCCCCCAAGGGCCGTGGGTAGGCAAATGCTACCTGACGGAAGAATTCCTCCATGAGGGCTTTGGTCCAGCGGCTGTGGACCGACCACTGCTTGGTTGGGTGGCTGATGTCAGCAGCATGGAGCAGTAGAGACAGGGCCTTAGGCTTGTCAATCCTGGTTGGGGCAGGTAACAAAGGAAAGGAGACTGGCCTTTTAAAAAAAAGAAGGCTGAACCATTCTCAAACTTCCTACCACATGCCCTCTCAGACCAGCACATAAACACACTCTCTCTCTCTCTCTCTCTCTCTCTCTCTCTCTCTCT